GGGTGGGGGGTGGGGCGGCCCCTTGTCACTGCCGCCCCTGCCACAAGGGATATCTCCGTCTCCCAGCTCTGAAAACCTTCTTTCCAGACTCTCCCTGGGAGGTCACAATGGACATGGGGAGATGCTCTGACCCGACCCCCGGTGCAGGTATGGGAACGATGGGGAGCTCCCCTCCCTCCAGGAGTGTGGGGATGGCCCTTCTGTGTCACCAGCACCAGCGTCGGACCTAACAACTGCTGCGCAAACGCTCTTTGCCCTCGGCAGGAATGGGATTGCATTTCTTACTACTGGGGTTTGGGTTTTTCTTTTCCCTTCGCTGCCCTCGCAGCACGGGTCTGTGGGTGAGGTGACAATTCTCTGCCCCTGTGCATGGTGTGAGGACAGAAATGCAGCCACCTCGTGGTGCGGGGAAGCGTCCTCTAACCAGAGATCACAGAATCAGGGTAAGCCAGGCTGGGAGGGACCTCGGGGGTCTCTGCTCTGACCCCCTCCCCCATTCGAAGCAAGAAAACCAACCTAATGATCAAAGCTCTATTGGAAACAGAGCACTCAGCAACCACTGCACGCAGGGTTTCCATTCTGAAATGCCCTTTCATCTCAGCAGCAGTGAACTACACTGATGTTTCAAAAAACACTCGGAAATGGAAACTCCAAACTAAATCGTTCCAGACAGGTCCAAACCTCCCACTGGGATAAAGCTGAACCGGTTCATCCTGAACTGGTGTGCTGTCTCGTGAGATGACACATCAAACAACCTGAGAGCCACGCCAGTGCAGATGGACGGATCCGCATTCATCAGAATGGAAAGTTGTGTTTAAATTATTTCCCGCTTGATAAAATCACTTCTCCTGGAATTTGTTGATGTCATTTTATTGGCATTTCTGCGCCTAAAACCAGCCCGTTAAAACCTTCCCGGCAGCTCCTGTGGCGCGGCGGGACAACAGCCACTAGAGAGGGACAGAGACCGGCGGCGGACCCAAGGGGAGCGAGAAGAGCAGTGAAGGGGCTGAGCTCCAGGGGCTGGGGAAGCCGGGTGGGTGGCAGAGAAACCCAAACCCCCAGGGGCTCAGCTTGCAGATGGAGAAACCCAAACCCCCAGGGGCTCAGCTTGCAGATGTGTGTCTGGAGGAGGGTCCGCACACAGGCATCAGCTCCTGCAGCCCCGCGGGTTGTGTAATCCCCCTGCAAGACACAGAAAGTGGAAAAGAAAATTAGGCGGTGCGAAGTGCATTTTTCCAGAGGTGGCAGAACCAGCATTTACTTCCCAGACGTGTGACTGGAAGGTGCTGGACGATGCTGTTGTCCCCGGGGTGGCTAATGGGCAGTGGCTCATTCAGTGATAATGGCCCAGGGCTGGGAAATGTGGACTTGCCCCCAGCTTTGCCTCTGCCCTTGAGCAGGTCTCGCCACTTTCCTTCTGGATTTTCCCCTGCAGAGGCAGGCTGACACTCTCAGTGTCATGTTAAAGACTAGATGAGTGAGGGGCTTGGAAAAGGATGTTACAATATCATCCAGAAATACTGGCTTCCAGAAATCGGTTGTCATTTTGTGTCCCTCTCTTAAGGCATCCCAGAGATTTGCTCCAGCCCCATGCTGGAAGAAAGAAGTCTCCTCCAGCAGCTGATGCAGTATCTGGGAGGGGGCAGGAAACTCTCACAACCATTTCAAAGCCTGGAACCAAACACAAACCCTGAGGGACACGCACCCAAGGGCTGGGACAGGGCAGGACTAGGTCCTGTTCAGAGCCAAGACCCAAGGCTGACTCAGCCATCAACCCAGCCATCCTCCTTCCCCTCCCTAGCTCATGCAGCAGAGATTTTAATCTGAATTTACTTGTTGAGGGAGAGAAAAACAGGGAGATTTAGCAGATAAAATATTTCTTTCTATGCAGACATAGGTTCAACCTGCGCCCAGCAGGATGCTCCGTGCCTGCCTCCTTCCAGCGGGATGTGAGCTATTGCTGGAGGAGCCCCTGTCCCTCCCCTCCAGCAGGGACCTGCCGGGGAGGTGGCATGTCCTGGCCTGGAGGTGACATAGCAGCAATGCTGAGGGTTTTCGGTGTCCACCCAAAGCCCCCCTTCGCCCAGCTCTCTGCGTGGCTTCCTGAGAGATCGGACTGGGTGTGTCAAATCCAAACTGATTCCCCCCCCGCCGGGAATGTTTAATTCAGTTAAAGCTTGAACAGGGAAAGAAAAGGCAAAGCAGGGCTCAGCTGTGCAACCCCAGAGCCAGGACCGTCCCCCGCCTTCCCTTTCCTCCCCCGTTGGACCAGCCATGGCGCAGGCAGGGCAGATGGGATAACTCCTGCTGACCTGGGGAGATGCTGCCCAGCCCCAGGCAGCTTCTCTGCTTCCATGGAGAGCTGAGAGCCCAGCCCAAAGCAAATCCTTTATATTCCCCAGGGAATGTATCTCCAGGAGAGCCATTGACACTGGCTCCAGCATCCAAGAAGCCTGTACAGGGCGCAGCCACCTGGAAAAACCAGAGAGAAACGCTGAATAACGTTCCCCAGCTCCCTGGTGTGAGAGCCCATCTCTGGAAAAAGCACTGCCATGAATATTTTCTGTTCAATGACCTGTGATAGCTCGGTCTGTCTCCCCAGAGATGGGGTTTTCACAGGGGCAGGTGCAGGAAGTGCAGCTTGCACCCAGAGGAACCTGGCTTTGTGCTCTGAAACTGGGACGGAGGAACCAAACCTGGCGCTGAGGCCCCGAGCTGGGGGGGAATGAGCCCTGAGCTGGGGGGGAATGAGCCCCGAGCTGGGGAGGGAATGAGCCCTGAGCTGGGGAGGGAATGAGCCCCGAGCTGGGAGGGAATGAGCCCTGAGCTGGGGGGGAATGAGCCCCGAGCTCTCAGCTGTGGACCCTCACACAGAACCCAGCACTTCCCATGCTGGATGCTGGACACCGGAGCTTGGTGCTGGGTCTGTGCCGTAGCAGAGCCGCGGTGAAGATGCTGCAGCCTCAGTGGGCTCGGAGGCAGCTCGGGATTCAATTTCCTTGTTGTTCCCTTGCAGATGGACTTTTCTGTATGCCCACAAAGTTCAGCACTGCTCTCGTCAAAACCCCACAAGGTGAGGAGGTGGTTCGGATGCTGGAGAAGTGCGAAATGAAGGAAAAATGCCATCGTGTTTCCCAGGTGGGGTATTATTCTGAGATTGTGCACAGCTCTGCGGGATGCAGGGAGGAACGGCTCAAGGTGGGTTTCCCGCAGCCCGGGCTCCTCTGTGTGCTCAGCTGTGCTGCCGGCACACGTGCGGGGTTTGAACCGCCGCGTGGATGCTCTGACATGGGCATCTTCACCCTGGGAGAGCTAAGCACACCCTGGCGGTAAACTATAGTGGCAAAAATCTCATCTTTATATTCTCTTGTGCTCTAAAATTGATTTTACTGCTGCTAATTTGTGTATATATCACTGCCATAAGTAACAAATGGCCTTTTCTTTGGAGTGAGGATTTCTTTGAAAAAAAATGAAGGGAGCAGTGAGATATTTATTTTTAAATATATTTAATCATTAGGTATGCCTTAATCTCAGTTCAATGGAGACTCTACTCTCTACTTCAACATACCTTTGTGCACGGGGACCTCTGACTCAAAAATCACTGGTGTGCCCCCCAAATTCTCCTTCCAAGCTTTGCCTGGCTGCTGCCCTCTCTCAGGGGTGTGTGTTCAGGGAGGGCGGTCCCCTGGGGTGTCCCCGGTGAGGTGCTGCAGGGGATTTTCACGCTTTTGTTCTGCAAATGTTTGCAGGAAATTGATGTGGGAAGGTGCTTGGGCAGCTGCTCCCCTCGGGGAATCCCCGCTCGCCTGGGCAAGCACAGCTGCCGCAGCATCCGCACGCAGCCAGGAGCAGGTTGGAGTGTTCCCAGTCCTGGGTGTCCCCGGTGAGGTGCTGCAGGGGATTTTCACGCTTTTGTTCTGCAAATGTTTGCAGGAAATTGATGTGGGAAGGTGCTTGGGCAGCTGCTCCCCTCGGGGAATCCCCGCTCGCCTGGGCAAGCACAGCTGCCGCAGCATCCGCACGCAGCCAGGAGCAGGTTGGAGTGTTCCCAGTCCTGTCCAGTAACTCCTCTGCTGCTCCCAGGGCAGGTTGGAGTGTTCCCAGTCCTGTCCACTAACTCCTCTGCTGCTCCCAGGGCAGGTTGGAGTGTTCCCAGTCCTGTCCACTAACTCCTCTGCTGCTCCCAGGGTAGGTTGGAGTGTTCCCAGTCCTGTCCAGTAACTCCTCTGCTGCTCCCAGGGCAGGTTGGAGTGTTCCCAGTCCTGTCCAGTAACTCCTCTGCTGCTCCCAGGGCAGGTTGGAGTGTTCCCAGTCCTGTCCAGTAACTCCTCTGCTGCTCCCAGGGTAGGCTGGAGTGTTCCCAGTCCTATCCAGTAACTCCTCTGCTGCTCCCAGGGCAGGTCCAGAGGGGTGGCACAGGAGGGGGTTCGGGCAGCACCCACAGCTCCTGCTCTGCTCTCCGTGTGCGGGGATGCAGCCGAAGCAGAGCTGTGCTCGCAGGGGTGCTACAGCAGCACGCTGCTCCGTCGTCTCACGGGATAAAGAAAAACCTGGGGCTGCTGATGCCGAATTTGGCCCGTTGGGCAGCTGAGGATGGCGCTGGTGGTCCCCATGATGGGACGAGGGGGAATGGTTTTAAACTAAGAGAGGGGAGATTCAGGTTGGATATTAGGTGGAAATTTTTCCCTGTGATGGTGGTGAGGCAGTGGCCCAGGTTGCCCAGAGAAGCTGTGGATGCCCCATCCCTGGAGGGGTTCAAGGCCAGGCTGGATGAGGCTTTGGGCAACCTGGGCTAGTGGGAGGTGTCCCTGCCCATGGCAGGGGGTGGCACTGGGTGGGCTTTAAGGTCCCTTTGAACCCAAACCATTCTGGGATTCTGTGATTCTGTGACAGCAGGCACAGATGGGAAGAGGGTCCTGCCAGTGGCTTTCTCCAGCGGGGATGTGCCGTTCTGCCCCCCGCCCCACCC